CATCAGCCACAAGCGAACTCTACGTCAAACCGTAATTGTTTGCCTTCTGAGTCACTCCACTCCCCATCATTGCACTGTATCCTCACTGCTCCACACTATTTCGTCATTTTCAATATCTCTCAATCAATCTTATTAGCCTATTATCAATTATATATTCGCAGTTTTTTCAAATTATACTGCTAACTGTTTGAAAATATTTATAAGTCTGCTACCCTCCTTTCCTTACATTATATCATTTCTTTGCCTCCGTCTCTAACATCTATCTATATTTCATTCTGCCTTGTCAAATTCTACTTCTCCTTCAAACTGTAATCTGTGAATTTTTGTTGTGTAATGGGGTGGTGTGAGAGACGGAATGGTTTCTTAGCTTCAATTTCATACGATCTGGGTCGTTCGAGTAAGCGCTTGCCTAAAGCGCACTTTCTCCCCAATGTATGATTAATTTTTATGTCATTAAAACGTAAACTGTAAAAAAAGACTGGAAATAGAATTTGAGAATTGAAATTCTTTCAGATAATGCTTCTTCCCTCAACGGTGGAGGATTTAAAAGTCGAAAAGAACAAAGATAGTAGTGAAGCATCGTATCTAGCAATAAGCTTGTTATGGCGACTGTGTGTGCGCAGTGGTAACTCCCGTCATATGCTTCCGATATTTAAGATAATCATCATCTTTGGCGCTTCCGTTACAGTGGTATATCATCTCTTTATTTTGAGAAATTCATCATACCATTAATTTATTGTTTCCTCTTTGAAGAGGAATACTGAAGTCAGCTGTCAGAAGAGAACTCAATTCTCTGTGCTTATAGTGATAATATGATTCAGTTAAATTTTACATTCTAATAAATGTTTGATTTAAGTTACATTTATTTCCATAATGTATGTTACAGAAAAGAAAGGAAATTGTGAACTATTGTGAATTCTCAGTGTCATATAGTTGTATGTTTTGTAATTTCTAATCTCTAATTTTAGATTGCTTACAGTGATGTTGAAAGTATTTTGAAATAATGCTTAGCAAAAAGCAAGCACACGAGAAAGAAAGTGTTAAGGTTTAATAAAGAGCTATGCAGTATGAGGAAGTGCTTCTCATTTCATCTATCATTACATAGTGTATTTTTCAAGAAAGCATATAAATTTCATGTCAAGCCTATAGGTAAAGGCAGCCAGTAGAACAGGTATCATAAAAAGTGAGTGAAGTAACGTGTGAAGTTTCTATTCCATTCATTAAGCTTCTGTATTATCTGTCATTGGACTGGACAATATTTGTGGAAGATCAAAGTTATGGGATTGCCGCTATTCAAGGTCAACAGATCCGTTATGTAATTGAATCACGGCCTTGTCCTAATATGAAAAGAGATTGCTACACTGTTTATGATGCTGTCGATATGTTTACGTAAGTTTCTTATTTTGTATTACTGCACATCAAATTATATCTTACATATATCATATTTCAAATTTTCAGTTCATTCAGCTTTTTAAATTTAAGATTCAGGAAAGAATGGACTTACAGAATTCAAAACTGCACTTCTTTTGTTCCTATATTTAAGACCTGCACGATTTCCAGCTTTTGATCTTTCCATAAAAGTCTATAGGTATATAAAACCTATAGAAATACATGAAAGTGGAGTGGAAGATGATCTGCTGTCCTTCTTTTTCTTAACAGGTTTTTCTAATTGAATCACGGCCTTGTGATTTAGTTAGAAAAATTCAAGCGAGTTTTCTTCAGGGCGGAGAAAGAACTCGATCTAAATTGAGCGTTCCGAATGGTAATGAAACTGAGAATATGTACTTGAACTGTGTGCTTAGTGCTGAAGTTGGTTTAAACTAATTCAGTTAAAATAAATGGACGAGTTATTTCAGTGGTGATGTTAACCGTTTTCTGATAGCGCGACATGTTCGAAAGGAACAGGAAACTGTTGTCCGCCTCATCCCACCTATAGGTTCAGTTTGAATGTTTTTTGAGGACTTGAACTTGTTAGGTATTGACTTTTTGATATATGATGCATTTAAATTATTGAAGGATGTATTTTACAACAAATTATTGTTTTAATCATTTCTTGATCACTTATAATTAGATTCTTAAAATTTAGATTTGTAGGGACTACGTTAGTGCAATTTAAAGATGGGTTCGGCACTCTTTTCATATTTACTGCACTGTTTGTAAATCCAGTCAGTTTGTCCCAGTTGTATAGAAAGCATTTAGGTATCAAGTCTAAACAGTCGGATTCACGGTTCTGGAAAGTGAATCATACACATATCAATAGACATTATGTAGCAGTTATGTTAACTGTACCATTTGGTGCTGCTGCGTTGGCACTCTCTAATTACGCCAACCTGGCAGCGAATATTTTGATAGTTGGTCTTGGTGGTGGCAGCATGAATATGTTTTTGGCAAGTCATTTTCCGAAGGTCGCTTTTTCGGACATTTTATAGGTGCATTGTCAGACACTTATTGAAGGTGATTAGTTTATGTATTGGACCTATTTGGCTCATTAATACGTTCTTTATTGACTGTTGATTCCTAAAAAAAAAAAAAAAAAAAAAAACGTGATGGTTTGAGATCCGAAATTTAGTTGAGAAATTTAAGATTTACTTAATCCCCTTAACATTAAAGAAAGGCTTAGATAGGATTCTAATGAAGAAGTCAAGAAAAAATAGAAAATAGAAAAAGCGTGAAAAAAAAAGTTGGATAATTGGGTAATAAAAAGAGCTGGATAAGTATGAAACTTTTTCTATTCTTTTCTTTGTTAATTCTGGTTTTTCCTTTGAAGTTCTTTGAAGGTTTTTTTTCTTTTCTTTGAAGTTTCTTTGAACTAAGCGGTAAACATTGTTTGGTATGCAAAAATAAATTGAACTTCGGTTTCCTCTTTCCATTGTAGATGGCAGTAACTGTTGTTGAACTGGACGAGGTTGTTACTGATCTAACATGGCGGTGGTTCGGATTGGAAAAAAGGCATGAAAAAATTCGTATCGTCACGATGAATGGCGTGAAATTTATTGAAGAAGCAGTAACTAAGAGTAACACTTTTTTCATGAAATCCTTTAAACCTTTCCGTGGTGTGTTATTATTAAATTCGTTCAGATAGTTTGGGTACTCTATACTTAAGTAAATGTGTTTTAAATAATTTCCATATCGAACATATGTATTATTTCCTCAACTTATTTCAGCTTTCATCATTGATTTTAGAAGCCCTCTTTGATGTTGTTCTTATTGATGTATGTGACGAAGTTGGCGATGTAATTTGTCCTGCCGAATCGTTCATCAGGCCAGATTTTATCGAGAATTTGAAGAAGATTCTGGAACCGACAGGTATATTGTTTTGTCCAGGTGGGTTAATCCAGTATCGCATTTCAAGGATTTCGATGGGTGTTATGTCTAATTAAAATAAAGAACTACGTTTACAAGATTTATCACTGTTTTGTTTTATGATAATTTCAGGAATTGTAGTACTGAACATTTTGCCACACGAAGACGTTTTGGATCAAGTCGATAAGGTCTTGTCTTTCAAATATCTGTCGTTAATATGGTGTTGGTGACGGCGTGTGAAATGGAATTTGTTTCGCACTTTTTCATTGGTTCTGTTTAGCAAAAAGAAACCTGTAACACGAACTTAATGATATATGCCTAATACACTACTTGAAAACACACCTGAAATACTTTGTAATCAGTATTTTACATACTGGTTTAGGTCTTCGACCGGGAACTCTTTATTCAGACTTCTGTCTAATCTTTACTGAATTTTAGTTCAATTAATTTCAGCTGTTTTGAATTACTGGGAAGTATCTCATAGCGGGGAATTTCGGATTCATAAGCCTCTGAGTTTAAAAACGATCTTTTGCTATTTGTTCCAGTTCAATCTTATAGATTGTGCATGTATACCAGAAGCATTTTCCAACATGTGTTGTTACTCCGCTGCTTCGTGAAATGAACACAATACTTGCGTGTCAAATTCTGCAGCACGATGATGCATATACCAGTCAGCGTTTGATGTCTCAGAGATTTCAAGAGGCTTGGAGTTATTTTGGCTTCCTTCAACAGTTTGGTGTCGTGAAATTGTCCTTTATAAATGGTAAAAGCAAAGAAGAAAATGTTGCCTGAATTTTGAAAGTCCTCTTTCATATTTCTAATAGCTTTAAATTATTTGGTATTATAAAGAGAAAGTTATGTATTTTGTCTTCCTAAGAATGTCAGTCAGCTGTAGTATGTTAGAAATTGTTCGGGTGGAACAAGGCTGTAGTTCTTGGGTTTGAAATGTATGGCTGATGTTGTAATTGACTGAAATATGAAAGGCTACTAGTATGGATGCTTATCCTATGTTTGCAAGGCTACATTATTTGTTTTGAAGTTACTTAAGTCCTACGAAAATTGATCTTTTGTTATATTCTAGATGTGCTGCTGTTGTCTATATCAGTTTATTCATGTGTTTTGAACCCTATTTGTAGTTTTCATTCGCGTTTCTGGATCTACATACAAAAATTATAAAAACTGACTATTCATTATGGCTGTCACCAACTTCCAATTTATAACAATATTTTAGTGGCGACATTTTAAGGTTGAGTTCAGGACAGAATGGATTTAAGTAGTTTTTAATTTTTTTCCAAAAAAAGAATGGTGAAATGTCATCTGTTTCTAACTGACTAATAGGAAGGACTTCAGTTGAGTGAAAGTATTGTTTGGAGTTGCAAATTACGCATCAAAATTTGTTTTAGACTTTCTTCATTCCCCATTTCATCCCAATTTAATTTTAAAAAAAGTTGATACTGGGCATCAAATCATACAAATTATTAGGAATAACTAATTATTAAGATTACTAAGACTACAAATTTGTTTCCTGTACCATTCTTTCGATGGTCTCATATCATTCATGAGTTATCTCGTATAGAAAGAGAAATACATGCGACGACCATCACTTTCTTGCAGTCTTTATGAAACCATTAATGCACCAAATCTGTATCGTACCCACTGTCATTCTACGAAATATTTCAGCTCTTCTAATTATGTCGCTAAATAAGCGGAACAGTTTTCAGGTAATCCGGATCCGTTCCAATAACTTTGGTTACATAAAACGCATGCATTGTGTACACAATAAACAGAAGTTCATCACTATCAATATCCTGAAAAACGAAGCAATAAACTCAAACTGTATGTATGGGATATACACTTTGCAGTATTTCACGTCATATCAGGTTTCATTTTTGTATGTTATCTTTTTCTTCAACAGATTGGAAAGAAGTGTTAAGATCTTTGATCTAGTAAGAACTAAATAGCATAAGGTTTAACTCCCATTCTCCATTATTAGTGTGGTACTGCATACAAATGTTAAATGTTGTCAGGGTTATAAGTTGAGTATAGCTAATGTGTTTTTGTATCATCGGGGCCATAGCTTAACTATCAGCAGTCCAATATTTCTTACCTTAATTTCTAAATTATTGCTAGATGAACTTCGCATATCTCGGAAAATAAGTCGGAGTCGTATTTTTCCATCATCAGATGATGATTCCAAATCACAGAAACGATACTGCCACGAGTAGCGCTATAAATTTGCAGAAAGTATAAATGGGAGTGGTTTTACGCACGATTTATTGAAGATTTTTTTTAATTTTAGATTGCTTACAATAATGTTGAAAGTATTTTGCAATAATGAGCAAAAAGCAAGCGGACGAGAAAGTGTTAGGGTTTAATAAAGAGCTATACAGTATGAGGAAGTGATCTTCATTTCATATATCATTATATAGTGTGGTATTTTTCAAGAAAGCATATAAAGGTTTTACGCACGATTTATTGAAGATTTTTTTAGTGATTGGGTAAATTTCTGAAAAAGAAAATATACCTTTGTAGGAATGTCGTATAAGCTTATACCCTGCTTGATATCAATTACCAAACCACTAGGGCGCCCTTGATAACTGCATGCAAATGTGCGTGTCTGAGAATTAAAAATGTGATACTTAGAGAAAAATTGATGTCAAGAAAATTAGTATAAACAAAAAAATCACAAAAAATTAAGGACGGGTGAGAAATGATAAACATGATTAAATATATGATATGATAAGGCATATGTTTGTGGGACAGACAAATGACATAAGTAAATAAGTTCACAATGATATAAATGATAAATTCGGACAAGTAAATAAATACCTGGAAGCTGTTGACAGTACTGTGCAGACAACGGTGATAAGCTACGTCAAACTGATTGAATTGATGATGATTCTCAACTGACATGTAATGTTTCAATCCATTTATGGATGTTTCAATCCAGAAACAATAATCACGTTTGTCTAACGCCGGTTTTTCTCTATCCATCACTTTGAATGCTGTATCGTAAATTTTGTATAGCGATACACACTTATTCAAGTCATCCGAATTCAGCTACAAATCATTCAATTTCTATTTAAAGTATTTATGGACCGAACAAAAGTCAAATTATTTAAAAAAAGCCTAAGCAATATCTTGATGCCCAACATACTGGTGGAGACTCGAAAATACAAAGTTCGCCGCCTTTCAGGATGATGAATCGAGGTTCCCAACGTTGACATGGATCTTTGAAATGTTCTTCTGGTAATCGTTCACTTACCCAACCGATGTACGTTATCTGAAAATGTTATTAAATTTCAATTAATACGGATCAATGCAGAAACAAAGGAAAATTTTTCAAATTGAGTCCTTACAGTCACAACCTTTCCTTTTATATTTTTATTTTATGAGATTCCTTTGCTTCTTTGAATCTCTAAATTCTCTTGAGAGGCTAACAGTTTCAATAACTTCGCAAAAGTTTCAAAAGTTTTTAACCCATTATTTCATTATTCAACATTGTCATACACAAAGCCAACCAGCTATTTTTTGATCTGTTACTCTTCTTAGTGCTAACCTGCTCATTTTTATGCAAATATTTATTTGACAGTTTGATGGATTTATAATTGAGCGATGTAATGCGACTCTGAATGTGTTTAATCCATTGTTCCGTAGTATTTTTATCTTCGCAGTGTACAATACCTGTCGATGAGCCGTCGACCGCACGAACTTCGAATGCATTGTTTCTGAAAGTCTAAGCGCTCTTGAAATTATGTAAATCGTAAAAATTTTATTCTAAAATTCTGAAGGAATTTAAAATTTTAATAGCAATTGGAAAGTGTGCTAAATGGTAATTGCTTTATGTTAGGGAAACGATTGAATACAGTTGAGGATTATGTCCTATTGAATGAAAGTATCTTTAAAAAAAAAAAAAAATGAATGAAAATATCTTGAAATTTACTTAAACTGATTAAGATGGATCCAGCAGCGTCTATGACTTTTAGTTACGAAATTGATAAGATGAGATTAAACCCTATTTTATATCTTAATTGGTATTACATAAATTATATTTAAGTGATAACCTCAATTTATCAGTTCCCCACAAATAACGCGTAATAAACGCCATCGGTAGTGGGATCTTAGCCATCGTTTTCCATTCATCTGGCGTGTCTTCAGCTGTACCTCGACCGGTCGAACTTCGTATACTAGTTATATCACCTGCCGGAACCGATGACTGTACTTTTAATGAGCTCTGAATTTGATCTCGAAATTTTAAGTTTTAATATTTACTTAAATCCATAACAAGATAAACAGATTTTTCCTTGTAACAATCCCATCAGCAATAATATTTAAGGAAAACTTCCGGTCTAAATAAATGAATTGTTGAACCTTCCAGGTGTTCGGTTCATAAAGACGGTCGAATGCGTTTTCTGTGTGTGATCTGAGTGAATCTGACGGCCTGCAAAGGTTATATGAGACTTTACACACCAAAAAAAGCTGACGGAATCAAATGTTTCAAAATATGATCGAAGTGTTAAAAGCGATCCTCTCATTGATAATTGTTTCAATATGTCACGTCAGTTTCGTAAGTTTTTTCATAGGAAGTACAAAAATGTTGCAAAATCCACCACCTCTTTTTTTAGGGCACTGATGGATCATTACAGTACTAAAGTTATCATGCCATTAAAAACTTAGACTTTCATAGGTTTCACAAAACGATATTTAATATTCATTATTCCTCTCCATCTTTCATAACTTAAGTCATTATATAGAATGCTAAAGCTTAAATGAAAAAATTAGGTAAATAATTTAATGAGCATCCAATAAATGTTTAACTTTAATGTAAAATCGAACTTTAGATAAGGAGCAATTTGTATATAATGTCTGACACTAAGAGTCACTTCATCTCCAGTATCCTTCAAAATTTGGACAATTTCATCGTGAGTTTTGCCATCTGTCGACTGACCATTTATTTCAACGATCACATCGCCAAGATATAGCTGGCCGCACGCTTCCGCTATAGTGATAATATAATATTATCATGATATCACCACATCAATATCATCATACAGGGTGATTGTTTGAGTTATGATGGATAATTAAAGCGATGAAAGCGTTACAGTAAAATCGATTATGGGTTATCATCAACTTCAAATTTTGAATTGCTGTTTAAGTGGAACGAACCATTGAGAATAATAAAAGTGACTTTTTAATGCACATACCAGGAGTGTTACGGAAAATCTTTGAAATGACAACCGGAACTTGCTGATTGCCATCACTACCACCCTGAAAAAAGTTTCGCCAGTTAGAAAGTGGAAAAATTCTATTTTTATTTTACCCAACTTACTTTGATTGATAATCCTAAACCAGCGTCACTTTTCTTGCATAACTTAACATGTCTTATGCTAGTATCAAGTTCCATTATCGAATCCTTCGTTTCGTCGGAAAAACTGCTTTTAGCAGTTATTTGAATAATGAGAACATCTGAAATTTATACCTACGTAGTCAAAAAAAATGAGCTGCTTTGATTTTAACTAAATTGCAGCTTACTTTTAAGTCAGAAGAATCCATTAAAGTTTAGAAAATATCGAAAAATGTTTTGATTTTGACTTATCAAAGTGTTATTGAAATGAATTAATCAGACATTGGCTGCAGAAGTTTATCATTACAGTATTTTCCTATCTGTTTTGAATAAGTTTCGATCATTGTCAACCTTTTGTAAGTTCCAGTCGTGCGGGTCGTCCCCGACCTTTACCATCACTGAGTAGTACCATACCGTGGTGTACCTACAAAGCTATTTCTTATTGCATATCTGAACTCAATTTCAATTTTTACAATATATATACAGACTGTAACACAAAAACTTACAACATCGAAATTTTTTCCACGATTCTTCATTATAACTGTTACTTTTGCCAATTGGAACTAGAATAAAAAGAAATATTTGTTCACAAGTTATGAATTAGTTAAGCAAGGAACCCTTATTAATAGTTATAAATTACTAAGTTTCGCTAAATGAAATCCGCGACTTTAAGGTAAATTAAATATGGAAATAAGCTTCTAATTGTATCTTAATTGTACAGAATGGTTGATATTAGTCTTACACAAAGATCATGTAATTCATTCGATATTATGCGCGCACACTTCTGGTACATTTATTCTTCTACTATCTATCAAAACGTGAAAAAAATACGAAAAGTTTCGACGAGTCACACTGTTTTTAAATGTAAAATAAGAATTATTTATTATAAAAAATATTCAAAAAGTTAACAGAAACGCAGTTCATCGATACCAGGAAATCAGTGGCGATAAGTTGATAAAGTTGAAGGAAATAATGCAGATGTGAAGAGGTAGTGATACACGTGCGTGTAGAGGAGCAAATTAACTAGTACAAACAGCTGTTCCAATTGCTCGAAGATCTATAAGCTGAACTTTCGAACTACAAATATTCATCAAGTCACTCAGAGAGTTTAAAATATTCAACTCCATGTTTATTTTACTATTGTTGTTCAATTGCACTCAGCACTTTTAATGGTCATTTATTGCATTAATAATGATAATTGTGGGTAATTTGCATTGACAAAAGATATATGAAGCACTGACTCTTGGATTTAAAATCCTTCTTTTGGGTCATTTCTTCTCAAAATGTGTGAGGTGAAAATTGCACATCTTTCGAATTATTTTTTGTATTTTTCCTTCAACTGACTTTCATTTCGTCACAGTAGAAGATCCTTTTGCGTCCGTAGCTGTCGCCTTTTCATCTGCAGTTCCTGATGCTTTTGCATCAGGAACTGCAGCTGGCGCAGATGCATTCGCTGCCGGTGTATCCGCCACTTGTGCAGTAGCACCACCAGTTGGCACAGTTGCTGGCAGTGTGTCACCAGTTTGTGGTTTATTCCCAGTGGGTGGGACTGGAGTTCCATCATTTTTGAGGAAGTAAACCATAATACGGCGTACACCTTCAAACTTTGACTGAGGTGTCCAAACTTGTCGGGCAGTCTTTTCTTTCTGAAATAAAATAATGGTCCAGTACTGAAATACACCCATCAATCCTGGACTCAAAGATTCTGGCTACAAAAAGGAATGAGAGAAGTACTAATGGTCGCTTCCTTCCAGTTAGCTAAACCAAAATTGACAACTGCACAGAGATACATCAAAATATTATTGTGAAGCAGAAATGCTGAGACTCGGTTCACTTTCTTATAATCAGAATATAACACATGACATTAAAGCATTAGGAATCCGGAAGCAAATGATGTAATTGACAATCTGTAATTCATTTTCATTTCCGATAGAAATTGTAACAAAGTGCATAAGGAAGAAATAAGAAGACAGTGAGCATATTTCTCAAAAATATTATCTAAGCAAAAAATGACAAACAATTAATCAATTCATCGTTATCTACCAGAAGTTTTCACGACATATCTACTCAAACATTCTATTAACTCTTCAATAGTTAGCATCATCCGAATAGCAAGCATTCTGATTGATAATATGTTAAAGCAGAAACTGACTTAAAATAGCGCTAATATATATTACAATGATAAATGATAGAAGCCTCAGGAATGTAATGGCCAAATGATGATAGTCCTTTTGACTATGGGTTACTGTCACATTAAAATGTAATCACACATTGGTAGGTACAGTTCACTTCTCTAAATAATAGTGCTGAAGTGTCAGATCATCAGATCGTATGATCGATCCTTCCGTCAATATAACTTTTTTTAAATACATTTCCTTCCTAATATCTTTTTAAGTAATTTGTTATTGACTTTTTGAGGTCTAATGCTAAAACATTCTGTTTATAGAGAAAGCGCCGTAATATCTCTCGACCGTGCACATATTATTGACATTATATCAAATAACTGAATTCAGAAAATAGAGGATACTGGTCTCCTTAACCCGAATTTTTTAACTAAAAAAGTGAACCTGAGAAAGGAAGAAAAAATATGGTTCTGGATTTCTTCGACAAACCTCATCACTTTTCATATGATAGAATGCAAAATAATGCCTTCCACTATCAGGCACTGTTTTACTTGAAAATGTAATTTTAATTGGAGTCGAAGTTTCTGCATCGCAAAATCCAAGTGGTGGACGTACCCGAAAAATGTCGTTCGATGTGCATTTTACCTAGAACATTCTGGGATTCATTGATTTCTTTTGGAATAACGATATGCAAGGAATAAATACGAGAAATTTTCTATCTGTGTCTTATGAATCGTATAATCTGAGATATCTGTAGAAATGTATGTTTTTCCTGACCATTGCAGCTGTTGGACTTACTAAACTAAGACAGACAAAATTTGGACATACAAACACCGGAGGAGAAATTATTAAATGTTCATTTAACTCGCATCGAATTGGTTGTTTTACAAAATTATCAGATCAATTGATATCACTCATTTTTACACCCAATTTCTCAGATGAACTTAATTTTGACACAAATTTCTAGTTGAAAAAAGACCTTGAATGTTTGCCTATCCTTCGTTGGATTTGTCAATTTAACCTCAATTTGACACGGTTCTTCCGTCAATTTGTCACTCTTGAACTCCAGTCTTGTATCTGGCTCAATTTTAAGTTGAAAAGCTGGCTCATTTGGCTTATTTGGTGGTATTGGCACTGGCATGACAGCCACGGGCGCTTTTGCCCCGCCTTGTGGTGTATTAGTAGTCGGCGAAACATTTTCCGCAGGTAGAGCTGTAGCGTCAGCTATTGGGGTTGGAGTTGAAGCTGGAGGTAAGCTTCCTACTGGTGGAGTGTTGGCAGCCATTATTTATGATGCAATAAATATATAGCTCAAAACCCAAACTTTTTAAGCCTAAAAAAAGCTTTTTTCATCATATCATAATGGAAGCTATGATTTTGTGTGAAAATTCAAGAGATATCATGTAATTTCTAAATATGTTTAAACTTAATTTCTAGACCTGTTTCAAACTATTTAGATTAATTTCGAATTCAAGAACGTAACCAAAGACACGGAAAGACAAAGTTATTCTAAGCAACTCCTTAGTTAAAGCAACCACCCAAAGAATTGAAAACCGTACAATGTTTTGAAATTTCACCATTTTATCACTTTTAAAAGAATTAGTTTGAAACACGCTCAAAAAGTTTTGAATTTCTTGCTTACCAGCACGTTTTTATTATATTTTCAGTAATTCGGTCATGTAAACTAGTCCTTGTAAATTCCGCAATAAGAATGTCAACCGATGAGATAGTTCAGATTTTTTTGAGATCAACATACTTGCAAAAATTTCACTGTTATATAGAAAGTTGATGATGTAGTCATGGTGATTAGTTTCCATAGCATCAATGAAAAGAATGACAACAACCGCTCCTTTGAAGATCAAAATTCTTGTTCTTGGACCACTTAAGGTAAAATTATATTACTCTCAAGCAATTCTAAACTATCGTCCTTGTAATTAACATATATATTAATTAGTCAATTTGAAAAAGGTCACGTTGAGTCTTATGTTAAAATCCGATGCCCAAAACTTTTGTTAAGACAACGTTTTGAACTTTCAAACTTTTTTTCTAAATACCTGTGCTGGGAAATTTAGGTAACAAATAATTATTTGATCAGCGAAATCTAAATATGTTAAATTTCTTTGTTTCTTGTTAAATTTTTTTGTGATTCAGCAATTTAAAATATTTGTTATTTTTACTGCTAGCGACCAGATTTTTTATTAAAGCAACAATGTAAGTCAATTTTTTAAATCAAATGAACTTTGTTAACTAAAACTCATTTTTCTTTTCCGAACAACTTTTAACTTTTTCTGTTTCAAAGTCTGTAAGCTCATGTAATTGCATATACAATAAACGTTTAGTTTGCTAAAATAAGGAAAAAGCGTTTTTCCTAATTACATTATGAATTAGAGCGGAAAGACGACAATATCAAATTACTTGGCAGATTCAAACGATATAAGTTTCAATATACACCGACCAACCCGAGGTGAAAACTTTATTTGTTCATTTCAAAAAAAATTTAAATAAGATTTACTTTGAAGAGTTTTTTATCTTAAAAGATTATTTAATTTTAATTTTAAGGATTGAATTTCTTAAAGATATTATTTGTTTCGAGTATTGCAACTAGTTTTCACCTTTTAACCCCGAGATAATCTGCTACTTAGCAGTCTTTCGATATTAAGGAAGTTATAATAATATTGAGGTGTACGAATAGTTGAATTCGAAAGCAATGATTTGGAACTTAATGGAGAACGAGTGGAAGCAGAGGTAGAACTTTGGGACTGCAGTGGTGATAAAAAATATCAACGATGTTGGCCTGCTATCAGACGTAATACTCATGGCGTTATATTGGTATGTAAGCCTGATCAAGAAAAAGGATCCGCACTTTTACCGTGGTATCATGTGCCATATTTTAATTCCTTAATTAAGAAAGGGCAATGAGGATTATTTCTCTCGCTGAATTATATGGCTTAGTGGTCATTTCCATGTGCAGTATCTTAACTGTAAATTTGTTACAACAAGAATTAGCTGATAAGTCAAGTATGATCAACCAGTAGCTAATAACATTTAGGTTTTGAAATGGCAATAATAATATGTTTAGTTTTGGAAATATCTTTTTTGAAGAAATAAAACATTTTTTGCAAAACAATACGGAAAAGAATGGAATGATCAATGACTCTTCTGTTAATTTAGGTTATACCCCCACACCTTCAACCGAATAAATGCTATTTCACATGAAAATCGTAAAAATACTACATAATTCCGGATTACCAGAAGTAGTAAGTAGATCAAGTATTTTGTTATGAATCGGTAAAATTAAGGTTTCGAATCTGTTTTTGTTTATGTTAAGGTACAAGGAATTTGTACAACGTGGAAACATTGACCCTTCACTCGTTCTTGTCCTATTGTATACAGTCAGTGGGCCGTCCAGCAAG